ATGAAAATTATTCTTAATTATAAACACTTATCATTTATTGAACAATATGTAATCATTTCATATTTAAAGCACTTTCAGAAGTTTGATTTCTGAATATGACCGGACTTTTCCTTTAACATTCATTTTGTATCAGGCATTTATTTCCTGAGTGGTGAGAAACAAACTTTTCATAACAAATCAGCTTGGATTAAATGTGAATATTTAACATCCTTGTTCAACAGGAACCTCACGGATTCCTCTTCTCTCCACCCATTAGACGATGAAAGGCCTGACTTGGGGATGTTTGCAGTGTGGTACCGCCTTGCTTAAAGGCAGCATGTTCCGATCAGCTCCATACTGTGTTTGGCTTCTGAGCAGTGCTTCTTTGAGCCCTTTATCTCTAAAGTCCTGCGCAAATACCAAGGTTTAGGAGATCATCTGGGAGCAGGATGTGGCCGAAGCCACTATGTAAAGATTTAACAGGCGTCCAACGTCAATGCTTGACTGATGGGATTCAGCTAAATGTCAAGTATTACCACAGGTGGAGCTGGGAGAGTCCAACACGTGTACCCACAGCTGTCATTTAGATAACATTCACTTCATTTTAAACAAACAGGGCAATGGCCCATTGGCAGTTTATTTTAAAAATTAAAGATGACCTACCGTAATTTACTTTTGGAAACAACCTTATTGTTCTACTGTTGATGATTTTCTGATGTATTGAAGAAGAAACTCTGGTTCAGTAAGATCAAAACTCAATGTTTTGGCTTTTATGAGTAATTATATCACAATAAACACACAATCCCCAGGATAAGACACGGTGGTGGCTGCATAGTACTGCAGGGCAATGATGTTAGAAGCTCCAGAGAATAAGGCAGGGATGTTTGAGATGAACATCCAACCAGAGCCTCAATCTGATTGTTGGAGCAGCGGTTCCTGAATTTTTCAATGTCATGACCCCCAAAACATCATTAGCTCCCCTCCACCCCCTTTGTATGTAAATTATTCTATAATGCCACATAATATGGAAAGAAAAAAATCAGCGTTAGAATTTTTTCTTAATTTTATGCACATTTAATGATTGTTTAATCTGTTTGCATATAAAAATAATACATAACACTTTCAATGTGTTACTATGTTAGGACTGAGTAACCTTTCAACAAACTTAATCGACTGAACTTTGCTCCATTATTTTTGAAAGCAAACATGTTGAAAGTTTGTTTTGCAAATGGAAATAAAAATCAATTCAATACAGAAATTATACTAAAAACATCTTGATCAAAAACTGTTTTGAGAATAACTTTGCTGTTGTTTTTTTATCAAATGAACAAAAAAATCCTCTTTTAAATTAAAAACTATAAACTTTTATTTTTTTCCAGTTTTTTTATATTTTGAAAAAAAAAATTTTATATTGCAGTCTTTTCCAATTTTGTTGTAGAGATCACATTTATAATGTATTTTTCCTAATTTAATGGTGCATTTTAAATTTTTGTATTACAGTATTGAGTATATTAATAAATGCTACATGTAATTATCTAATGGGACATTTAATGGGTCGTGCATTTATTTCATGTTTCATTGGTATATGTACATTTATTTAAAATTGAAAAGCCAGACTCACATAAATAGGCTGTTCAAAGGAAAAGTGTATTTCAGTATCCAGTCAGCTGAGGTGGTTTCCATGGCAACAGTCAAAGTTCAATTTAAAATTCCCTGTTTTTCTTTTTTTTTTTTTTTTTGGGTTCACCATAGCATTACATATTGACTTATATTTTATAACAGTGATGAAAACATTAGTTAATGTTGTATAATTGTTTTTTTTTTAAAGATTAATCAGATTGTTTTTTACGTTAGCCTTTTTATGAATAATGTCTCCATTATTCTTTTTAAATGCTTTGTCTGAACTGGAGCAGTTTTAATAATAAAAGCGAATAGGCAGAGATTTCAGGCTCTAGTTCAGTGGTTCCCAACCCAAGTCCCCTTCATATTCTAGATGTGTCTCTGCTCCAGCACACCTGATTCAAAACGTTGCATGACCTTTTCAAATTAAATTATAATTCAGTTTATTTCTATAACAACAATTCACAACACATGTCATCTAAAGGCACTATACAGTTCACCAGATCATCCAGTCAGATTGATTCAAAGTTTTCTATCTAAGGAAAACCATCTGATTGCATCGACTCATTGACTCGAAGGCAATCCCTCACACTAAGCATGCTTGTAGGCCGAGGCTGACTGGGGTTCAAGGAGACAGAGCAGACATAGAAATAGAAGCATAGATACAAAAGGCAACTGTAAAAGGCGACCCCGTCCAGGAAACACACAGCCAGTCAGAGGAGTGCTGCAAATGTCAGGTGGCAGCTTAGATGTGCAGGGCAATGGTTGCTAAGGAAGTAAAAATCTAGATGTGAAAAATCTGGTGGAGAATTAATTCAGAACACTTGCAGCTACTCTGTGCTTACAACTAAATGTGGTTCTGTAAATGATAGACCTTGGGCTGAAAGCAAATAGACAATCGTTAAAGGAATACACCATAACTCAGATTTAACAATGTTACTCTTTATTCTGATGTGTTGCAAAAAAATCTGTTGAATTTTTGGACACTAATGGGAAACAGTCTGTTTATATACTTTCCCATGACAGGGAGGGGGGCGGTTAAAATTTACTGCTTCTGCTGGTTCATAAAAAAAAAAAACAGGATTCTATTCATCAATATCAATCATGGGTAGTACTACGAGTATGCTGGACAAGGAAGAATATCTCTCCTGGAACAGATACACACACATTGCTGTTCCAACATGGAGGAGTCACTGTCTCACTGTGTGGTGTGGAGGCTGCAGCGCTGCAGACTGGACGAAAGTGAGAAGAGTGATGAGAACAGAGAGGATCATGGGGGCTCCTCTTCCCTCCATTAAAGACATTTCATCCCAGCGCTGTGTGTCCCGAGCCCGTAACATCAACAATGACCACTCACACCCCCACCATGGACTGTTCTCTCTGCTGCCCTCTGGGAAGAGACTTCACAGCATTCAATGCAGGTCCAGCAGCTTCTTCCACTCTGCCATCAGACTGCTGAACATTGAAAGAAACTTAAAAAAAATTGCAAAAAGCTGAAAAAAAAAAAAAAAAGCTGAATGTTTAAAAAAAAACTCCAGATCATTTCAGAAACTGCATCAATCTTCCATATCAATGTGGGTTTTTTTGTACCATGTTTTTTTTCTCTCCAATGTTTACATTTGATCTCTGCTGCACTTTGGATATGTCATGAGAGCTGCACAAAACAACATTTCATTTTGTATATACAGTGTATACAAAATGACAAAGTGTGTCTAAGTCAAACACTTTCAACCACCAAACATTGGCATAATATGACTTAATTGAAAAAAGAAAAGGTAATCATTAGTTGACGTAGACAAACATTTACACAATAAATACATGCCTCTCCCAGGTTACATCCAATTCTGCTTTGTTTGGACATCAGGAGTTTAGTATCCAGCTGTTTGGAGGATCATCTTACCATGTCTACTAAGGGTGTAGTGGTTATCCCTCAGCAGCAGGGGGAGACATTGAGCAAGGCATTAAAGAACAGTGGTCACCTTTATCCACTTTTTAGCCTTATTCAGACTGAAGGCTGTAACAACTTTTTGTTTTTCATGTGTAAAAAGCGGTTCCTGGATAAAAAAAAAAAAAAAAAGCCTTCAACCATAAAATCAGCTCATCCAACATCTGGAAATCCTCCAAGGTCACTGCATCTTAAGTTCATTTTTCTTTTTAGAAACAGATACAAAAAAAAGTGGCTATTTCACTTTTAACAAAATTTAAAATTAAAGTAGAAATAGAAGAGAAACTTTGACACAAACACATTTACCTTCATTCAGTATCTGCCAGATACTCTCATTTACACGACTGTGCTCCACATTTCGGACGTGAGGTGGGTGGGGCAGAGCGGCGGTTGGACTGAGGTTGCCAGTAATTAAAAACAAATTAAAAAATTTTTTTATGAACTAAAATATATGAGATAATTTTTTGTTAATTTGTTGTCAACTTTAACACAGTTTAAAGAAACTTAGCAATTACTGGTATTAAAAGCATGACTGTGTGGTAATGCAAAATACTGAAAATTAACTCTCAACAACAAATGAATAAAGCTGTGTTTTAATGGCTGTTGGAAAATTACATCTTAAAAAAAAATCTATCTTTGGTATGAATCAATTTTTAGGAATTAATTTGACAATAGATTCAGGTATTTTTTATGTTTTTAAACCCAGCCCTGGTCCCAAACCAGCTTGTGAACGCTCCTGTCAGGAGTTTGAACCTGAAGTTTTCAGTAAACATTCAGTCAATGCTGCTGAAATGAGGATAAAAAGTCAAACAGAACGCAGCGATGTTTGAAGAGAAAAATAAAGCAGGACTTTATTCAACAAAAGAATGTAATCTCACTCAGAGTACAAGAAATCTGTTTAATCAAATTCAATATACAAAATAAAATGGCGCACATCTTTGCAAAAACAGAATCTGAAAGAAAATCGAACAGAAACCGACGGATTCAGGAGCCGTTTTCATGTGGCTCATCCTCCATATCTTCATCCTCTCCTTGGGCCCCGTTATTCATGCCATCTCCGTAACCTTCCTCCATACGTGCCTCTCCACCGTTGTAGTCTTCCTCTTCTTCTTCCTCCTCCATCCCACTGGGATCTGATTTAACAAATGAAGATAAATGAGTCCATCTGTTAGAACTTAAATCATGCAGCTCCACATTAGTGGAGTGAGTAGGACAGGTTTAGATGGATTAACAGAGCTGTTAGGAGAAGCTCATTTACCATCCGAGATCTACATGAAACCATGTCCAGTATAGACTCTAGCTCCCCCTACAGACCAAATTGGGTTTCAGAGTTTTGGAGCGGACTAAGCAGCCGTTTCCAGTAAAAATAAAATCAAAAGAATATTTTGTTAAAATACTGGTAATATGTAAGGTTCCCTCACTGAGTGCCTAGCTTTAAAAATGCACTTTAACATTAAACAAGACTCTTTCTAGGGCTGAATGATGTATTTATTTTTTGCACTAGATCAGCTGAATAACTGTGGATGTACAGGATAAGACCTGCTTAGGATCCTGCCACACCTAGGCAATTTATCCAGCGTATGCCCGATGTCCCAGAATTTACTAATAATGTGTATTTTTATTTTTGGTCGTATACATAGAGTATTGATATCGAGTCCGGAACTTACGTCCAATGACAGCCTAACTTCTGCATAACGCACGGCAGCGTGATGCTCATGAAATGATGCACAAACCAGTGTCCTGAGGGGGGCAGCGATGCGCCCAGAGGTGCCCGGTGTGGCCTGATTGAAAAACGGCTTTATTCAGCCGTTTCCTAACACTCTAGACCAGGAGTGCCAAACTGGTTCCAGAAAGGGCCATGTGGCTGCAGGTTTTCTTTCCAAACAAGCAATAGCACACCAGACTCCAGTCATCTCATCAAGGGAGTCCAATCTGAACATGATAACTAGATGAGATGACTGGAGTCTGGTGTGCTATTGCTTGTTTGGAAAGAAAACCTGCAGCCACATGACCCTTTCATGGCAGATCATCTTATTTACCTACTCAAATTAAGGGTAAATACACTTAATTTAAGAAATTTTTACTTATTTCTAGATCGTTTTTCCAGTGCTTTTTTTTTTATTTTTATTTTTTTTTTACATGAAGAGGGCGGGTCTTTTGAGTCGTTCACAGGCCTTTTAATCTTCATCTGGCTCGTCCGGGTGTATGGTTACAGTTCACCACTGTATTTATATCACATATAGAGAGAAAATACGGTTTATCTTCTAATAAAGTCAGAATCTACAACTAAAAGTGACCTGAGAAATGAACAAAAACATAACAGCTGCTCCAAACAGGACTGTTTGAGTCTATGGAAGCTGAATATTAATCATAGGAACCTTTTAATCACGGATCAATTTCTATAAAAAGGTTGAGAGGGTCTGGAAAACACTGACCTTGTCTGGGATCTCGTCCTGGGATCTGTCCGGCCTGCAGCATGCCTTTTAACCGTTCCACCTCTTCCAGTGATGAGGCGTTAGCAATGGCGTTCTGAAAAAACAGGCGTTTACAACATCAGTCGCATCATTTCAGCTCCAAGTGATTCCAGTAAACAAAATCTGAACCAGGCTTCTACGATCCAGAGTTCTTCAGCACCATTTTGGTTTCTGCTCTCTTCATTATTCATTTGGGTGATTTTAAGCAATAAAAATTAGAAGGAAGATAGAGTTTGAACTTTGCTCTCAGATTTTCCCTTTTCTGCTTCAGCCTCAGCAGGAATTGTATAAAGCAAATATTTTTTCCAAGGCTTTTTAAGCTTTTTAAAAGTGGGAACAGGGGATGCTGATTATCGATTAGTGAATTAATTCAAGGTTGATTGATCTTATTGATTGATGAAAGATTAATTCTTATGCAGCTATTTTCTTATAACCAGAGTTTTCTCTTATCAGGAGAACATTTTATATTTGGAAAAAGAAGCCTATCAATGTACTTCAATCTATATTATTCTCTTAATATCCACCTCATTTTGGGAAATTCTCGCCTATTTTGCATACCCAAATGGAAAAGCAAACAACTTAGGAACTGTAAGTCCAAATAACATGTGTGACACGTTATTTGAAAGCTAACACATTCGAGTTTCTGAATATATAGATGAAAATTGTTAAGTAAAACACAGCCCAAGCTGCATCATTTAAGACATGCTTGCTTTCTGCTTTGTCATGTTTACATACTGTTATATCTGTGTTAACTGCGCTTCGGTGCTAGCTGTGTCCATAAAATGAACTTGGATTGTGGAGAATCTAAGTTTTCCAACGATGTCTAACATGTCTATATTGGTAAACATTTTAGGGGTGGAATTTTCATGCATTCTGGTGGGTTTTAAGAGGTTATAAAGTTGGTTTAAATACTGACTAACTCAAATAAAATAGGAACTAAGGGGGTTATTTATTTAAAAAAAATACAGTAAAAAAAAAGAAATATGAGACTTCTGATCCCCCATTGACAGCATCATTTATAGACTGGTATGTCACTCTGACGTCCTGTCAGGCTTTACTGCCACTTCCTGTCAATGGTGGGGAGGCTAACTAGGGTTAGCTCTACTTTCTAAGAGCAAACCAACCAGTGGTGAAAGAAACACCATGTGCCGCTTCTATTCTGGTGTTTCTGATTGTTCTCAGAGAAACATCAGAATAAAAACCAATAATGTTTATTGCCATTAGGTCCTCTATCAACTTTCAGGGACTTGGGAAAGAACAGCATCTATTCTATTTACAATCAGTCATCAAACTGTTTGGATTCTGTTCAGAACCTAGTTTTAATTCTTCTTCATCTATTAGTTACGTCACTAAAGGATGAACAGCGCTGTCCTCTAGTGGACGGCTACAAAACAGTCCTGAAAGACGGTCCTAAGCATGAGTCATCAGTCAGAAAGAAAAAAATTTTAAACAATAATTCATCAATCAGCAATTACAAATAAGCTGATTATCATCTGTTTACCATGAATATTTCCATATAGAAAAGACTTTAAATAAGGAACCTAGAGAGCAGATAAAAACACTGGAAACAATTTTTCCACATATTTAATCAAGTTCCAAACTTTGGCAGATTGTGTAGAAACCTGAATGGGACCAAACTAACCTTGATGGCTTCCACATCTGCTTGAGACGGTCCCGTCCTCCTCTTCTCAGCCTGTGCAGCCACTCCTGGAGTGAATCTAGAGGATCATATGTCATTTAGACAACCATCTACCAGCTCTAACCACCCAACAGGCTCCTTTAGGTGAAGCAACCCAAAGCAATCTCACGTTTTTGTTCGCCTTCCCAGATCCTTTGCCAGCTGAATGCCTCGTTTGCCCTTGAACATTTTCTCTGCCTCCTGCCGTTCCTGGAAAATCCAAAACAAAGGTTGGTATTCCGAATGCTCCCTACCATCGCTGACCTTTGGACTCGTCAGAACTGACCTTGAGCTTTACTTTCTGAAAGTCGAGCACACGGATCTGTGGGATTTTGTTGATGACGTAGAGCCTGTAGTGCTTCTTGTTCGTCACTGGGTTCTTTAACAGGCTAAAAACACAGATGATGATGAAACATGTCAGTCTGCTGCTAACCAAGCGGAGTCAGAGGGTTAGAGCCGTTAAAACACAGCAGAGATCCATACCTGAGGAGGTTTAATGTCTTCACCGAGGCCAGCGGGTCCAAGTCTCCCTATGGAGGAAAACATACGGAGAACATGGATTAGTTAAACAAGGAAATGCGAGCTGATTAAGGCTAAATTCGAATTTAGGGGCTCCGTCCTCCAAAGGACAGGTTCGTAGCCCAATTATGTCATAACGCAGCACTGTGGCCTGTTCAGATTGGAAAACTCCTCGTTATGCGGCCTACAAACGACCCTTCTTTTTGCCCGATTTGAAGGAGGGGTCAGATGTATTCTCTCTATCTTTGGTTTTCCCAGGATTCATTGAGAGTCCAAGCAAGCCGGCTGCTC